AGCTTCTACTTTTTAAAGTCACTACTCTTTGAGAGGTGACGTTTACAGAAGGAGCCGGTCAACACCTGAAGGCATCTGTGGACAGCAGCTGACATGTCCGGTGTTGTCAGTCTCTGTCCCGGTGTTGATCAGTCCCTGTCCCGGTGTTGATCAGTCCCTGTCCCGGTGTTGATCAGTCCCTGTCCCGGTGTTGATCAGTCCCTGTCCCGTCCCTGTCCGGTCTTGATCAGTCCTGTCCCGTCCCTGTCCCGGTGTTGATCAGTCCCTGTCCCGGTGTTGATCAGTCCCTGTCCCGGTCTTGATCAGTCCCTGTCCCGGTGTTGATCAGTCCCTGTCCCGTCCCTGTCCCGGTCCTGATCAGTTCCTGTCCCGTCCCTGTCCCGGTGTTGATCAGTCCTGTCCCGGTGTTGATCAGTCCCTGTCCCGGTCTTGATCAGTCCCTGTGTCCCTGTCCGGTCTTGATCAGTCCCTGTCCCGGTCTTGATCAGTCCCTGTCCCGTCCCTGTCCCGGTGTTGATCAGTCCCTGTCCCGGTCTTGATCAGTCCCTGTCCCGGTCTTGATCAGTCCCTGTCCCGGTCTTGATCAGTCCCTGTCCCGGCTTCAACCAACCAAAACACTCCACCATGCTAACATCACTGATCTGAATGTGTCAATCAATATCGTCACCCAGGATGCTGCTGTTCTAACCAAGAGAACGCACCACGAGTCCACTGATTGGTCGGTTCATGTGTCAATCAATCTCAGGCTTGCCGCTGTTGCTAACTATGGTCACGCTAGCTTAATGTAGTTCATAAAATTGCGCTGAGAGTCAATTAGCCTCCAGTACCACACATTGTGTGAAACCTTCCAGGTGAGTCAAACTTTCAGTCACTTCCTGTAGCCTAGCTTAGCATTAAAGTTTGATGGTGACTGTTTGCAGACTCAACCAAAACTGAAAACATTTATTCAGAGCTGTGGGGTCGATGAAAACCTGCACATCCCGTTGGATTACCCGCCTCTTCAGTTTGTACCACACCTTAACCTTTTCATAAAGATAATGTATGGATCTGTGCAAACCTTCAACAAGTACAGTCAGGTTTGTGTTGAGCAAGAAAGTTTAGATTAACCACGATGAAAGACGAGAGTGCGGAGCTGAATGAGTTTGAAAGCAGAGAGTCAGGACTGAAGGCAGGAAACACAGGAGTCTCATGCTGCAGGAGTGCTGATGCGAGCGGCTGGGCGTAAAGCCAAACCCTGAAACTGAACTCATGTTTGTTTATGGAGGGAGAGGCAACAAAGAGCCGGCACAACCTGTTCTCCAGTGAGAGTCTGCAGGTCATAACACCTGATGAACAGTCAAACACACCTGCTGGAATACAGATAGTGATGCAAAGAATAAGAAACACGTCAAAACAGAAGATGCTGCTTTACAGAAAAACTAAAGTTAAAAATGTCACTTTTTGAATTTAAATCTTCACGTCTGAGAGACAAAAGCATCAACTCAACCTGAGAGAAAGGAACGCACTGAAACAAACGAGGCGGCTTCAAACACAAACTAAAAACAGAAAGATATTTAGGATACAAGTATAATCTCTGTGGATAACATAAACATGTCTGTCATATTAACATCTCACCTGTGAAGTCTAAGTACAGAAGTAAAACACAAATGATGGTTCAAAACGCAGACTTACCCAGAACAGGAGGTTGAAGATGAAGAGAAGATATTTGACACATTTATTGACAGCCATTTCTTTAATTTGTCTTTTCCTCCTCAGGAACGTCTCGCTCTCGACCGGCTGCCCTCGACAGATTCAGACTTCCCAACGAGCGACGGCAGACACACACACACACACACACACCCCCTCAGGCCAGTTAACCATCCTGCTCTACCTGTTTCCTCTCACTGGGGGTGCGTCCCTTTTAGCTTCCCTCCTTCCCTACCCCTCCTGCATCCTTCTCTTTTTCCCTGCACCTGCTGCACTTCTTGTTTCCCCCTTTCCTTCCCTGCGTCCTTCTTCCTCTTTTTGAGTAAATAAATAATTTAAGCAGCCTTTGAGCCTCGAAACCAAAGGAGTTCTCCTGAGGGGAAACTTTTACTGACGTTTCATATTCGCTCCTCGTGTCTTGTGACGACCTCATTTGTTTTATGAAGTTGAGAAGTACCCGACACTGGAGAGACGGGTGGCAGGTTGGTTTTATATAACTGGAAAATCTCCCAGTTTGTGTTCAAGACGTTTTTAATGTTAATTTAATAATCGATGTAGTGTTTGTTGTTTTTAATCTTTGAATTTTTTTATTTTATTATTGTATTAAATGAATCGTAACAGAAGGTAAATATGGTTCTAGTTTAATTATGGGGTCAGTGATTTTAAATCAACTCTTCATACTGAACATTTCTTCATAAAACATTTCAGTGAAATAGCTCACATGAATATAACTCAATTCTACCATCTAGTGGCAGCTGAAGGAAACTACAACCATCAGCTTCCACTTCTCCAGTCCCCTCCCTTTTCCCTCCTCGTCTGTCAATCAACAGTTACAGCTTTGCAGAGATAAGACGCTACACGAGGGCAGCATTCTGTGTTTCTACACCACGTCACTTTCTGAGCAGGTAAGTCATATTTTCACTTTCATGTTCGGAGCGACGCTGCTTTTGGTTTAGGACTTGTTAGTGGATCACTAACTGAACTTGTGCAGCTGGTGTCTGAATGTTTTTTCTGTGTTTACATATGACTCACACTTCTGATTGTAAAGGTCAAGCCCGTTCTGTTTATAGAAAGATCTTAAAACTGAAGTTAAATTATGAAAGACATTTATCTTATCCAGACAGAAGAAGTGTCATCATAGTGGGAAAGTAGATTTACTAAGTTATTCACCCGTTTAACCACACATCTGGATTATTGCAATGCAGTCCTGTCCTAGGAACCTTAAAGTTAGAATTACAAAAACTCTTTGAACTTTATACTGGTAAATTGGGCAACTGGTGTAAAGTTGTTAAACGTGCGTCTTATAAAATGATTTTTACAGAAACTTAAGGTCATGGAGAAAAGATGAGTTTATTATTTAATGGCCTTTGTTAAGAGCGGTCAGTAAGACAACGCACACTCTGACTTTGATCACGATGAGCCATTTATTTAGAGCAGCAAATGCATTCCTTAACTCTAACTTCAGACAAAAAGACTCAGAAACATAAAGTTCATAGCGGTGCGGTGGAAAAATTGTTTGCCCTTCATCTCTCACATCCAGTCTCCACACCTGAGCTAAATGAAAAGGCTCTGTCACACCTTCAGATTGCTTCTTTCATTCAGATGTCAGACAATGAGAATGAGTAAACATACAAAATGGCTTCAACAGCCTTAAACGAGTAAGACTGACTGCTTTGAACAGGAAGAGGGAACGATAGGAAAGGAAGCTGCAGCCTACGAGTGTTCATCACATTCTGGACGAACAACCAGCAAACTTGTGAGGCCCAAATGGGAACATCCCAGTGTTGAGGAAATATGAAGAAACTTGACTTCATACAAGAAACATTCAGAGTCTTACCAAGCCAGTTCTGTCAGACCGTCCCATAGGTGGGTCGTATTTATCCTTAAAGATGATGCTAAAGTCGAACGCATGTTACCCTTTCGACTCTACCTAAATCTTGAATGGAACCAACCAAATCCACTGAACAGCCTCAGTGGGTCATCAGCATGCTAGTGATGAAGGATGACTCACATCAGAGTCGTTAGCTGAGTCACTGGTCTAGTTTCAGCTAGAGTCGTTAAGACCCCAGTCGTCTGTGGATGTCGGAGTCACATGTTCCAAGGTGGGCCTGGGGCTTCAGTTGTTTTGGGAGAGAAATCAAAACAGCATTGTAGGCTGGTGAAAGATGGTGTCTCAGACCACCACCTCGGTTAAGGGATGGTTATTCAACCTTAACACAGATGGCTTCTTGAACCCCCCTCTCAAACAAACGGTCTTCCTTGGCCAGGAAGTGCAATTTGTCATCCTCAAAGGAGTGTCCTTTGTCCTGTAGAAGTGAAGGGACCCCAGAATCCTGTCCTGAAAAGACCGTGTGGAAATGTTGGCTGGGTATCAACAACGGAATTCCAAGAGCGGAGACCCAAAGATAGGATTTAAGAAGTCAGGATGTCACAGAGGTATGAATTTAGAGTCTGATTGGACGTGGATAGGGAGCTGCTCAAGAAGAGCTAAAACTGTGGGCACGTGTTCAAAATCTGGATGTTGTGTGCAGAAAGATTGTGTGTTGTAAAGGCAAAATTTACACAGAAGGACATTCCTAAGGATACAGAGACCATGACCCTGGAAGTCGAGGCCCTTAAAGTGTGTCAGTTTTACTAATCTTTGGCTGTAATTATAATCATACGTGTCTTTAAGAGACTGAAGACAGAGGAAGAGGGGGGGTTAAGGATAGACAGTGTACGTCTGCGTGGCAGATGGAGTGGGCGGGGAAAGTGATGCATTTGAATTCAGCTGTGAGTGTGGATGTGGGTCTAGAAGAGTCAAGAGGTAACTTCCTGATCTCAGCGCAGTGAAACTATTTCTTCCTTTCTTCATCTGCTGTTTTTGGAATGGATATTGATTTTGGAGACTTTGAATGATTTTCTGTGGATGGAAAAGAAGTCTGCAGCTTCCCTCCTTTGTTGTGAAAGTAGTTGTTGCGTCTCTGGAGCTGGATTTTTACGACGACTTTCCAAGCTCTGCTGGTGGTCTTCAACCCAAGTTTGGTAAACATGGCTTTTTATATTGTTGACTGTCTATGTGGGTAGTTTCAGCTGTGTTTATAAATGCTTTATTGGGGTGGTTGTTGTGAAAAAAAGCTGCATGGTGAAGGGGTAATTTATTTCTCTCTTTAGTCTTGACTTAATTTTTTTATGGGGTTTTTTCCACTGCATACTAGTTTGATTAATTTACTACTACACCTCTTCAAGGCTTTTTGTAAAACCTGGTCGAAGGGTGTAGCATGGAAAGAAGAATCTATAAAATCTTGGAGCTGATTTGGCTCATAATTCTCGAGTCATCAGCTGCAAAATGCTCAGATGCTTTTGTTCCAGCTTGTCTTGATCTAAATCTCATTGCTGATTGCTTCAGAGAGACTGGTGCAACACTTCCTGTTAACAATCTTGTTGCTAAATACATTGAATGCTTGTTTTAACTGCAACACAGCTTGTGTTTTTGATTGTTTCCTCATTATTTCAGCCTGCCTAAAGAAGTTTTGTAGGTCCAACAGCATGAAGTCATTTGTACCTGCAGAGTGATAGATATAATTTCTATAACCTTTCATGCATTTCTCGACAAGTATAAAGCATCAATTGCATTGGTCAGTCTTGTGATGTCATTCTTTCTGTTTTTTAGGATTCAAGGGGAAGGCTTGGGGATTCATCTGACACTGGTGGCTTCCTGGGAAGTATTACTGTCAGTCAGAAGAAAACAAAGTATCTTTGACTTAATCTGCACAACTTTAAAAAGGTAAGACGTCACACAGGGAACAGGATAAGTGAGCTTTTGTAACACATTCTTTGTTCCCATTCAAAAATTAGTCTGGTTTTACTGTAAGGTGTTCTAGTGAGATGGGGCTTGTCAGAACTGGCCTGAGAATCCTTTGAAAGAGTCAGAGACAATTTGTAATGTCACAATGTGCAAGGGTTTGTAACTTTAAAGGGGGAGTTGAATCTGCTCTTCTTTGCTGCCTCCTTGTGTGTGAAAATGTTTTTATACCTTATGAAACTTAACGTTCCTAATGCTAAGCTAGATGCTTGTTTGGGAGGTCAGTGTTTAATTATATTTGGCTCCTGCTTTGTAGAGATTTGTTACTTGGGTCAAAGAATCCCCAACATGAACATCCTCACAGATTCACTTGACCTTAAAAAGCAAAGCAGAGTTTTGGCTGGTGAAGTGGCATGAGATGGAATAAATCAATCATTCAATGTCCCACTAAATTGTTTACTTTTCCTTTTCAGGAACCCCGATGGCAAAGCTGAAAGAGGAGCTTTGGAAAATCCTTCAGGACTTGAAAGAGAAGGACTTCGAGCTTTTCAAATGGTTTCTGAATATAGATAATATCGTGGAGGGCTTTTCAGGAATTCCTAGCGCTCGGTTGGAAAAGGCGGAAAGACAGGATGTTGTAGATCTGTTGGTGCAGAAAAATCAGGTTACTGGAGCTCTGATGTTAACCAAGGCGGTTTTAGAGAAGATCAGCAGGAATGATCTGGTGGAGCGTTTGGAAAGCTCCAGCCCGGAAACAAAAGGTAAGTTGTGATGTAAACACCTGTGAGGCGTTTTAAATAAACCTCCCAAGCTGATCCGTTGCCAAAAATCAACTGTATGATGAATAAATACATATACAACCAATACTTAGATGAATAGGAGTACCCTGACTTGGTAATGGCAGATTACCAATTTATATGTTAGATTAGGCTAAAAAATATGAATCAGACTCCATAAATTAGGCATTTAGCAAATTGAATGATAAAATCACACAGGGAGCTTTATGTAAGACTAATCAGATGTTTGTCTTCTGTTTGTTTTAGACCTCAAGAACCACGAGTGTGTTGCTCTGAAAGGCGAACTTGAAAAGAAGAAAGTCGAGCTGGGGGCTAAAATCGAGCTGATGATCCAGGAGAGGGAGACGAAGATCGAGGAGATCAAACTCTCAGCAGAGCTCAGTGGCAAATCTGCAGACAGACAAATCACAGACAGCGAGCAGGCTTTCGCTGTGTTGCTGCAGACTTTGAAGGAGAGTCTGGATAATCTCATTGAGTCCATTAATGAGAAGCGGAAAACAACACAGAAACAGGCCGAGGAATGCATACAAGAGCTGGAGCAAGAACTCTCAGAGCTAAGAAAGAGAAGCGCTGAGGTAGAGAAACTCTCAACCACCAAAGACCATCTTAACTTTGTCCACAGCTTTGCCTCCAACACTAAGAACTGGACAGAATTCAGCATCACTCCCCCGTCATATGGAGGAAGTGTGGGGAGCACTGTGGACCAGCTCGAGAAAATGCTCAGAAAACAGAAGGACGCATTTATTGCAAAGGGGAAGCTGAACAGGGTCCAGCAGTTTGCAAAAGATGTGTCTCTAGATCCTAACACAGCTCATCCCAACCTCGTTCTGTCTGACAATGGGAAGCAAGTGTACTGTGGTGATGTAAAACAAAGCCCACCGGACTGCTCAAAAAGATTTCTTTCTGCCATCAATGTTCTGGGAAAGCAGAGTTTCTCTTCAGGAAGATTTTATTATGAGGTTCAGGTCAAAGGGAAGACTTCTTGGGATCTAGGTGTCGTCAAAGAGTCGATTGACAGGAAGGGATCAATCAACGCAAGCCCCGAGAATGGCTACTGGACTATATGTCTTAGAAAGGGAGAGAATTACCGATCTTCTGGAATCCATCTCCGTGTGAAATCCCAACTGGAGAAGGTTGGCGTGTTTGTGGATTATGGGGAGGGCTCGGTCTCCTTTTATGACGTAGATTCAGCACACATTATCCACACCTTTACTGGATGTTCTTTCACTGAAAAGCTCTACCCATTCTTCAGTCCTGGTCTTTATCTTTCTGGTAAAAACTCCGCCCCTCTTGTCATTTCTCCTATAAATTACACTGATTAGATCATCCACCGACTGATGGTTCTGCAATTTACAAGTCTTGCCTATTTCATCCTTATCAGACATTGTAACGGGTTTGACAAGGTTTTAATTTTGGGGTGCCAGTCAGAGTCAAGTCCGACAAACAAAAACTAAATGCAAACAAAAAAATAGCCAACCTGCACAAAATAGGAGCCAAGCAAGAGCAAAAAACAATCAAACAAAACAACAATGGGATTTCAAATATATATATTATCACAGGCATCAACCACACTGCAACAAAATGAATGTGAGCACTGTGTGTGTGCGTGTTTCACAGTCTGTGTTTGTAACTCAAAGTTCACTCCCTTCCGGCAAAAGTCCGCTCCGGTAACCCACAACCCACAGTTCAGTCCATTTCAGTTCAATGTTCAAATACAAAACAAAAAGTCCGCTCCGGGTTTTACGGGGCCTCGAAAACAAATCAGGAAAAAAACTGACAAGAAAACCAGCGTCTCTCTTCGCGGAGCAAAAATCAAACACAAAGAAAGTAAAGACACAGCAGGCACTCACGGTACCGAAGTTTTTAAGTCAGTCAGTAGTCAGAGTCAGAGTTGGGCTTTGCTCCACCGGCCTCTCCTGACTCCAGGGATCAGCTGATCCTCCAGGAACAGGGAAATAAACAAATCCAACAGGTAGCCGGGCCTGACAGCAACGGACCTCCAGCGACAAAGACTTTAACAAACGGCCATACACGAACTTTCAATCACTCTTTACACCGAGGTAACCTTCTCCTTCACTGACTTTTTTCCAATGACTCTCCGCACCTCTACAAATGCCTCCTGGAGGACGGATTCAGACTTCGCGGGCACTGTGGCTGTTTTCCATTGGCGTGTGAGATGAATGTGGGTGGATGACGGAGGAAGCCATGAATGGAGGTGTGTACAAAGAGGATTCTGACTCTGCAGGCGCTACATGTATGTTACATTTTGACTGTATGATATTGAGTTTCCAGGTTTTATATTTTGTCCATAGAAAACTAAAATTTGCCCAACAGAGTCCAACAAGTTTCCCCATCATAGTCTGAAAAACAACGGCAACCAAAGTAAATGCAAGTAGCACAAGTAAACTGGGTCAAAAGTTATTGATAATTCCCAATTCCACATACTCTGTGCCCGTTTGCACTGTTGGTTCGGAAACAAATAAAAATGTGGATGTTTCCTTTCTTTGTCTGCTCCATATTTCATTTGCACTTTGTGATGTGTTGCTCCTGAAAGGTGCTATATAAATGAAGTTATTCATTTTGGGCTCTAGGTAATTGTGATGAAACATCGCAGTGTTTTTGGAAGATAAATCCTTTCAGAAAATGACCATTCCATGTAATCCTACACAAAACTAAAGAGATTTTCAGGAATTCTATTTTGGCTGATGACGAAACAAGATCACTGACTTTCGCTTTGTCGATTCCATGATATGACCTACAACCTTCACTATGAAGAAACTGTCACCAAGCATTCAGGCTGGATGATAAGGATGGTGACATTTTATTACTTCATACATACTGCGTTGATAAATGGTGTAAAGTACAGTTCTTTATACAGCACTTATGGGACATAATGGTACGAGATATGTTAAGCACAGTCCATTCCTGGAAATAACTTTTAGGGGGTTAAAGTTCAGCTGAGGGCAAAATGTTAGATAATAAAGGTAACTACATCAAACCGGGAAGGTCGTATTTGTTGTGTGAAGCCTTGCAAGTCAAACAGTTTTCTAAGATACTGCATTTAACTAAAACATTTCAAGGGATTTTAGTATTCTATTTTGGCTTGCAATGAGACCGGATCCCTGACTTTTCCTCTGCTGATACCGAGGAATGACCTCCCACCTTTAATGGAAACATACTGTGTGACATATTGTTCTGTCTCTATCTGCCCAGCAACTCTTTTTGAAACCAGAGTCAGGATATGAAGTTCCAGTAAACAGCATGTTCTAACCACACGTCACATGTGCATCAGGAGTAGTTGCACGTACGACCCTTGTATAACCCTGTTGTCTAACCACATGCTAATAAAATGCTATACCTAGACTGAACTATGCAAGTTGGCCTCTGACTATTCTGTATTCTGTACTGCAAGATACTGACTTACCCCACATTCTAGCAGTGTGATGATAAGAAAGGGAAGATAGAAACTGGTACTACACATCTCTGTGGGGATTATCAACTGGCATAAAGCCAACCATCACTATTGGAAATGGCTAGCCATTAATTTAAAGTTTAAAAAAAAGGGTAAAAGGGAAAAGGCTTTCTGACAACTGAGAGGCCAGGAACCTTAAGACATGGATTTGACTGGACTTCAATAAAAAGTAACACAAGCTACAAAAAGCTGGAACATCTACCCTGATGGAAACGGGAATATTGATATTTTCAAATTCCACATTTTGTAGAACCTGTTTAATATAGAATTTGTACCTGTTTTTACATTACCATCATGGTTTTCCATGATTACATGACAGCTTCTTTTTTGACTTGACAATAGCAGTCATAAATGTTTTATTGCAATAATAAAACACAGACAGTTTTGATACCATGTCAAACATTAACAGGTCGAATAAGAAAAGCTGTGACAAAAGACAGTTGGAAAGAGTCAGAGAAAAGAGAAGACAGCCTCCACATCAGTACTTTCAGAAACTAAAGGAAGTAGCTCAATGAGCACGCAGTAGAGTTTAAAATAGATTTGCCGTGGTCTGAGTAACACAACGGAACATTCAGTGTTTGCAGGTGAGTCATTGTGGTTGAATTTATAATACAGCTACAGGAACATGTATCACAGTAAGATAGAGTGAGGAGAATTAACCCCACCTCCAATGACATTATCTGTTTTCAGCAAGGAGTTATTATGGCTAAACTTGAAGAGGAGCTCTTTAAAACTCTGCAAGATTTAAGAGAAGAAGAATTCAAGGAGTTCAAGTGGTTCTTGAATAAAGTTGACAACGGAGAGGGCTTGTCAGGCATCGCAGCGGCTAAGCTGGAAAATGCAGGAAGGCACAACACAGTGGATCTAATGGTAGAGAAGTATCAGGGTCCTGAAGGGTTGAGGGTTTTAAAAAAGATCAGCAGGAATGATCTGATGCAGCATTTGCAAGCCTTAAAAAAGGTAAGGGATTGGATGGTAATGGTGTACAGTAATACCAAGATTTTATGATTTATGAAATGCTGTGGGATTTCTTTAAATACAAGTCTGATTATTTGGTAATGGTTATGGACTTATTTGTAGCTTGCAGGCCCAGAAACAGAAACTTGACCAACCACCACTCAGATTTATTTATTGCTCTGGGAGCTCCCACAACTGAAATTTCAAAGCGCTTCTCACCAGCGCTAACTGTTGCTAAGCTATAAGAGTTTTTATTATGCTTTGTATGTCCTGTCCTGGCCTGGCATTAGCAGCAACTCTCCACCTGAAAATCACAAGTCTCATCCCTTCTTAAATCTGATTAGTCGTGAGGGGGAAGAGACATTGAATAGTTGAGCTATTTCCAACTGAGAGGGCTGTGAGCACAGCGACAAAAAACAGCTGCCCCTGAAGGGTTTTTGATCTTTGGGCGCTGAAAATGCGTTACTGCTTTGGTTTCGTATAAACAATAGGACCTGGCAGGGCAAAAAAACAGCATTAGTGGCTACAGGCACTATATAAGGTACCTGTTTTATATTTCTAAATCAACCTATTGGAAACAGTAATAAAATGTGTATGCCATTCTAATCATGTTAAATACTTTATAAAGCACAATAACAACAGCTGTCCTGCCAAGCTCATCAGTTTATTTGTTTGTGTTCTGTCTCCTTACAGACCTCGAGACACAAACTCCACTTTGAAAAGACCAAAATCATAAAAGAACAAGGTCCACGCTGAAGTGGGTCCAGCAGTTTGCAGTTGATGTGACTCTGGATCCTGACACAGCACATCCTGCTCTCCTGTTGTCTGAGGATGGCAAAGCAGTACATGATGGTGGTATACTGAAGAATCTCCCATGCAACCAAAAAAGTCTGTCTTGTCTTGTCTGTCTATGTAAACTGTGGGAATGGATTTGTAAAAACTGTCCTCATAAATACCCAAAGATTAGAAGTCCATGCACGCAGTTTACAAACCGCATCTACAGAGAGCAACAAAACTGAGCACACAGATTAGTCAACTTTGGGAATTAATTTACACACATTTTTTCATGTTTTCTTACTTTGTAGTTGTACCTGATTATGTGATACAGGCGCGTGTGTACAGCCTCAGAATGAAGGTTTGAATACAAATTCCTGCCGACTGATTCTGTCAAATGAAAAAGTAAAAATAACGCGCTTTGAAGAAAACTCTTCTACAGTTGTGATGATTTGTCAACAGCAGAACCGTCTCTTATAAGGAAGAAGTGAAGGTAAGAAATCCTCCAGAAGAAAAGTGTGAAGAAACCTTGACTGAGAATCTATTGTTATCACTTGTAAATATTAAACTCTGGTAAACATCTGTTCATGCTCGTTTCTTTTCCTTTCTTACTTGAAAAAAAAACAAAGTGAAAATCAGATCTCCAGAATTGTATTCCTTAATGTTTTAAAATGTGATTAATGTGATTAATTTACATTCATATTGAATTATCTTTATGTGTTTCATGAGTTTTTTCTTTCAAATTAAATGTGTTTGTACATTTTAAAGGCAACATGGGCTAAAATCCTCATAATAAAAACAACAGCATCATTTCGTGATCATTCCTCTTTAACTTTTTTATTCTTGTGACTGATAAAGATTTTATACATACTTTAAGAAATATTCATTTCTTAAACGAATGCACCCGCTTGTACAAAGGTTCTTTCAAAATAAAGCAAAATGAAACTGTTTTACTTTCTGAGACTTTCAGATAAGACTTTCGTTAACGCTTAAGGTCACAATATTCTCCATCAACTAGCTGCTTATTAGCATGCTAATTAGTAGCATGCTAGCTTCTTGTATTATGCTACTACTTAGCATGCTTATAAGCAGCTAGTTGATGGAGAATATTGTAAGCAAACATTTATTTGACTTTAACAGTTAACAAAGGCAGTTAGTGTGGAATTCAAACTTGATGGTAAAATAGTATCTTTCAGGAACAAAGCCCTCGCCGTGTTGATTTATTCTCCTGGACGACAGTCTAACACGTTTTACGAATAAACAAAGTCAAACACAAATGTTCTTTAACTTGGAATATGAGTGACCTCTCAGACGACCACACGATGTTTCAACAGCAGGAACTTAATAACCCTCTCTTCATTCAGACTGAAAGAACTTTCATATAATAAATCAATACAAACATGGACGACTTGAGTTGACGCTTTAGAAATCAGAAACCAAACCTCCGTGGCGTTCAGTAGTCCGTGCTGAAATGCTTGTTGACTTTGGAAACAGGAACGCAGACGATGAGGCTGATGAGGAAGAACTGTTTCTGCTCCTTCAACCACACCAGCTTCATCCTCACCCGACCCTCCCGCTCCCGGTGCTCCATCTCAAAGTGCTCGCCGCTGTAGTCGAAGGACAGCGTCTTCTTCGCCATCGTGGTCCAAATGGGCGAGCTGAGACACCAGAAGGGCTTTTGGAACTCGTCCAGCAGAGTCAGCGTTATGATGCAGCAGTTCTACGCAGCGCAGGAAAAGAACCATCAGAGCGGGGAAAAAGAGCGGGGTGCATCCCATTTCTTTTCCCAACAGCGGAGAAACTAACTTTACCCTCTAACCGCAGATCAGATCACTGCAGCGTTTAACTTGTAAGGGAGCGGTCACACTGGCCATCCGTACCGTGCCCAAGCACGCTTCAACCCTACAGTCCGGTTCGTTTGACCGGTGTGACCGCTCCGCTCCGTGATCATGCACGAGCACGCGGGTCCACAACGCTGACAGCCTTCATTCAGGAGGAATCCAGAGTTCCATGTGTGTATCTGACATGACTCAATGTAAGACCAAGTATCTGTCACGCTCTCTGTGCTGTTCTCTGATGTGCAGACTCTCTCTCTCTCTCTGTGTTTCCAGCTCCGTGCACTGAGCTTATGAAGGTGAAATGTTTCTGTTTTAATTATAGTTCGTCATGTTCTTACAATAAAGAATAATTAAACCATAATGAACCATCTGGTTTCTTCAACTTTCACTCAGGAACAAAAATCAGCTTTTACATTTGAAAGAAAAACTTATTGACAATTATCGATATCGACTGATATGACATTTTTTTATCGTGATAAAATGTTTGTCATATCGCCCAGGCCTAGTTCAAACACATCTTTAGGTGAAAATAAAAACTCTGAGTGTTTTTGTATCAGTCAGGAAGTTGATATGTTGTGTCTCACTGCACGTGTCGTACCTCCACTGAGCCCTCCAGCTCCAGGCTCTTCCAGGGCAGTTTGATGTTTCCAGACAGCGAGCGGTGCTGAGACAGGTTGGTCCTGTTGATGACTCTCAGCTCCACGTGTCCACGGTGGATCTGAGCTGATGAACGGGACAACAACAACATTATTGACCTTTGAACCCAGCGGAGCTTTTAACCCTCATGCATCATTATGTAGTCCTCTTTATCTGGCCATCACTTTGTCTGTATTAGTGCATATGGCACACATTTTTGTAAGAAAGTGTCGTTGGATAGGGTTACTCTTTTAAACTTATTGTTTAAGAGATTTATGCAACAAAAAAAAAAGTAGAAAGAAATATGAATCTGTTCTATTTTTAAAGCAGTTTTTGTAAATTGGACATTTTCGCCCCCCAATGTCCAAACAGGGAACTACATTATCAATCTGATGCTACACAAAAACTAACAATGCATCAAAGTCAATATTTTGGATAATCTTTGACATATCCAAGACTGATGTAAAAAAATCCCCCGGCCACCAAATATTTGTTATATGGAAAATAACTCATTTATGTGTTGTTTATTTTCATAAATAACAACAGGGACATCAAGTAATCAAACTGGCATTTAAAGGGTTACATTCCTAATTCCTTGGATGTTTGGTAGTGTTGAGCAGGGCTGAAGTTGTTTAAGAGATATTTTTAGTGGACATGTTTGTCCTTAGTGACTTCAGAGGGTCGTAAATTAAACTGACGCTTTGAAACGGGTAAATCAAGTCACATAAAGTTAATATCACGTGTCAGGTGACCTCTGCGACAGGAGAGCTGGCAGAAGTGTCCCGACATGATCTCCGTGCCGGTGTTGTGCAGAACAAAGTGCAGAGAGAAGCCGTGCAGACCAAACTCAGGGTCCGAGGGGTCCGGGGGTGGGAGGTCATCAGGCTGAGAGTACGGGCTGCAGGGAGGGACAAACAAGACGACAACCACAGAGATCTTTGTAAAGAGATGGAACCTTCAAAAACTTTCCCCAAAAAACATCTCAAATAAAAAACATGCAGTAAAAAGTAACGGAGCGGTGTCGCTCATACAGCGGTAACCTTTGTCAACAGGCTGTTGTCATGGAGACAGGACGGACGTGCAGCACTTTTCCCTAACCCACAGCCAGGTGGACACGGGGCCTAAACCATCGTCTCACACTCAGGTAGCTCGTGGTGGTCAGTCTGCCTGTGATGGTTATGACATCATCTCTAATATTCAACTCCACTATGGAGAACATGAAAGTGAACGACACCGTTGATAACGACCTTTTAAATAATTAGAAATAATGATGAAACAGAATAAACATAAATATCTTCACAGCTGAATAAATCTTTATGAATACTCCTTTAATCTCGTCTCGGTTCTTAAAACCTGCAGTGACGTGTTTTGAACACTAGATGGCGCTCTCGTTGCGTCACTCTGACATCATCGACCTTCACGCTGGTTTCACAGACGATGCTGCATAAACGACGGCAGGGCGACGTTTCTGTCGATGTTCTGAATACAAATATAAACAAACATCTGTTTCCGCTGTGCTCGGCTCTGGAAAAGAGAACGTGTACACTTAAAGAATAACCAGAATTATTTCACCATATCTGAGACCTGTATATTTATTTTCTTCAGGATGAAGATCTGTCACATGTTTTGAGCTCGGCTGGTGAAGAGTTGGCGATGTCTGTAATCGTGGTCGTTTTAGAAACTGTTCTAGGGCAGAATATTTGTGATTAACAAATCATCTATGACAATGTTACTCCCGTCGGTTGTTTTTATTTAATACAGACGGTAATTATGTTGCAACATTTTGTAATTCAAGTTTTTTTATTTTGTATTATTATATTTTACTTTCCCCCTTATCTTATAAATGTGTTTATATGTGCATGAGTATATCTTTATGAATCTTTTTTTCCTTAGAATTTATTTAATTGTGTGTTTTGGCAAAATGTTTAAAACTCAATAAACATATTGTTAAAAAAAATACAAAACAAACATCTGTTTCCGCTGGGTGGCGGTGAACTTACCAGACGGGACATCCCAGCAGACTTTTCTCCACCAGCTGATGGAAGTGCAGACTGACCATGACGAACGCCACATTCCTCTCGCCCTGCACACACGTGAATAAGAACGCAGACGTTACATTCTCACACACGCAGGACGTCTGATGCGTCTGTGCCGTACGTCACCTCTCACCTCGTCACCTCTCTCTTTCAGGGGGGCGGGGCTTCCTGAAATGATCTAGGAGTTCTCAGGAGCACGTGTGTGAAAACGCCTTTAGAAGACGTCAGAGAAATGTTCACTCACCCGCCAGACGCCGATGATGAAGTCGGGGTCAGATGCATGATCAGCCGGTCTGTGCCGATGAATCGACCACACTGTGTGGTCAGGTCGAGCGTGGAGATCAGAGAGCGCCAGCTGGGCCTGATGAGGAAGAGGAGGAGGTGAAGGCTTGGAAGAGAGAGACAAAAAGAAGGAACGAGTGTCTCTTACTTCCCGGGTTCGGACTTCTTCTGAGTGTCCTTCTTCACTCCGTACAGCTCGATGGTTCTGATGTTTTGGTATTTGGGGAAGCAGCTTCCACTCCAACGGACGATCACGGACGACTCGAAGAAGTACGCTCTGCTCTGCTCCATCGTGCTCTTCTGTCCGTAGTGATCGCACACCGTCAGCTCCCAGCTCACATTCAGGTTCCTACACACACACACACACACACACACACACACACACACACACACACACACACACACACACACACACACCACACACACAACACCACACACACCACACACACACACACACACACACACACACACACACACACACACACACACACACACAACACACACACACACACACACACACACACACACACACACACACAGTGCTAGTAGTACCTCAAAGTAATTGGAGTAAAAAAGATAACTATTGACCATTCCAAAAGAGTTGAAAATAAAAGTTTTGAGTGAGGAAAAGAAGGGTTCAATTATGTTTTTACTGGCAGAGGGTTACAGTGAGCATGAGCTTGCTTCCATCTTAAGAACAAGGTCAGGCAGCAGACGTTGGGGACAACAAAGCTACAGACCAGACAGAGGGCGAAAAGGACTCTCCACTGAACGGAATGACCGTCAACTCATTT